GTACAACCCTGACATCGTTGTAGGGTGCTTAGGGGGAAACGGCAATTCCAGTGGAGCCGAGGCATCTACAGTTATTCACTGTCTGACAAGCCTTTTCGACCGAATTAAAGTCTTGAGTCCCAGCTGCAGACAACCCAAGAATTTCTTCACAGAGATTGTTTCTAGAGGAAAATTTCGATTACCTTTGCAACGTGAGGAGTTTGATGCAAGACGTAGGACTGTTAACAATAAGATGAAGAAAATCCTTGGTAGAACATAGCAGAATATTTAGATGTCAAATGTCCGAGACATTACCTTCCCGATGAGACCCTCTTCAACGAGGCGGGAACAGTCCTCCTTTTGCTTTAATTTTTCAATAAGAAAAACAATCAAGAGTCGCTTCTAGGACTTGACAACAAATGGCCTTTTTAGGGGCCATTCAATTATTCGAAAAGATACCTTTGAATACGGAGGTAGAAACGTCGCATTTGACGTACATACCCATTAATTTTACCGAACTTTTCGATAAATGAAAAAGAAATACGTGATATCTATAAAAATACAAATAATAGTATATAATAAACAAGTATAACTTATTTTTTCATAATTCCTGGAAATTTTGGCACAAATGATAGTTGATCGAACTTGTTTAAACTCGTCATATCACGTTATATCCACACAAAACCTTTTTAATTAGGTATTTAAAACAGGAAGCATTTTGACTCACGCGGCAAACCACAATGTTCCTGTTATAATGCGTAGGAAATGTATACATGTACCTACATGTATATGCTTATATTCTCTGCGCTTCAAACTTCTTCAATCAGAAATCGATCAGATAAAACTTTTACTTAAACTTTTATTTTTTTCAATTTTATTTATTTATCATGCAATTTTGCTAAGCATTTTGGGCACTTTATATAAATATTCCCTTTCAATGTAAAATACTTTTATTTTTTTAACTCTGCAGAACATAAAGATTCCTTAAACCTTTCAAATCAAATAACCGACCGCCTCCTGCCTTTCACAATATATTTTCTCTGTTCTTACAATTAAAATTTGGGACAACAAAACAAAGGGTAAACCTTAAATATTTCTGACACCATGCCATTAAATTCTCCAATACAGTAAAAAAAAAAGAGAAATTAAATAGATCGAAAATATGTTGTTCAATGAAATTCATTTGTAGCAAATTAGATAAAAACATTAATTTTTCTTGGTATATATTTCTGATGGCATACATTATTAAAAGTTTGGTTTAAGATACATACTAGTATATTAAACACCGAAAAGAAAAAATAAACCACTTTTCAATCTTGGATTGACATTTTGTAGCGGTGGACGTGACATTTTTGGATGATCGGCGGACATTTCGTGACGGGGGAAATAGTGCAACGATCTTTGGGGGAAAAGACGGACATTTCTTGGCGGCAAGCATAATATTACTATTTTTTGTAAGAAAGGCAGACATGTTGTGACGATTTTTCCGAAAAAAGAAAAATTTTAAAAAGGAGGGCTTTTCGAAATGTTGAAATTGTTGAAGAGCTTCATGTTTCATATCGTTTTCGTCTATGTTATGTCAAAGGTTATATTCAGTTTTGATTTTAAGCAAATTAATAGTAAAGTGAATTACATTTTTAAAATTGTTTTTAGATTGTTTGTTTGTGTTTTGTTTTTTTAAATTATTTTTAAAGGGTTTTTTAACGAAAATTTGCTTTACAATTTTGTTATGTTTTAGGGGAAATAAAGAATATTTAGGGATGTAAAAATTCTACTTTTTGGGTATTTTAATTTCGTCCTTAAATGTGGTGTTTATTATATAAAAAAAATCGTTTAACATTAAGTTATCGGTAAGGGGAATAAAAGAATATTAAGAGAATACGCTAGTTTCGAGATAAAGGCGCAAAAAGTATCCATTTCAGCATGGAGGTGGGACAGTTTGCTCATATATACAAACGTACATAAATAAATGAACGATGTCTATGGCTTTTAAAATTCATTTAATGTTATAGAAAGATAAAGATATTAATCAGTGATGCATTTTTTGATTTTATCAAGCTCAACTGTGTATATTTATAAATCTTTTTCAATTATAGGGTACTTAAAAACGAAATAAACGTCGTGGTCTTCATAAAAGAAAAAGATTTTCTTGATTGTACAAACATTCTCTACAAAGTTAGTGGTATTTTTTGAAGTTATAATAAGGTAAAAAAAAATTAATGTGTCATTTAGATTGCCGATATTTAATGACCAGATTCATGTTTTCAACGTGTTTATTAGAGGTCCACATATCTCTTCCCTCGTCTGTAAAGTCTCACATTCACAGAATTTTCTTGTTTGTTCCAATTTTTTTGCTTTAAAAAAACGACAACTTTACTTTAATTCGGTTGTTTTTGAGTTGAACAGAGCATCGTTACAATTATATAGTTACGATAAACCAGTATATCAATGATGCGATATATCCAATAATAAATATCTGTCCCACCTGTTTGTTTACGCGGCAACCAAACTCCCCTCCTCAACGAAAGAGCGCACCAAGGGAGATAATCTCGAAACTTGCGTATTAAAGAATTCTTTTTTTTTGGAGCTCAATTTTTCTTTGATGTGTATTGAATATAATCAGGTGATTATCGCGCATTCACATCATGTTCCCTAAAACATGCACGGATCTCTGATATTAATTATGAAAGCGAGTTCCAAAAGTCAAATTGAATTCAATTTTTTATTTGACAAATTTTCATCAGCATTAGATACCTTCAGACACTGACACTCAGCTTCTGAGGTCTGAGAGAATCCAAACATGAAGTACATGTACCAGCAATACACTAAATCAAGTTGAAATTTATTATGCGAAGTATTGCTATTGTCCGTAGAATACATATATACTGGAAAACACTGTTTCCTTTGTTTGTAATTGGACATTATGAGTTATGGTTCAGCCTGCAACGATCACATGTATTGATACGTTTCATTGGCATTGTAAAGTCAGATCAGTGAAACTGGTTAACAGGGGATGCTTACTTATCATAGGAACCTGATCCCACATCTAGAATTTTTTATGCCATATTTATATATTTAAAATGATTATAGATGTTTGAGATTAATCACTGCTTATTATTTTTACACAATGAACATTTCTAATATCTCATGTTCATTTATGCATTTAATTTTGGTATTTATTTACAGATGTTTCGGGTGTCTGTGTTTGCTCTGCTCCTTTTTGTATTGTTTTATGGACTTTGATATTGAATACTGTTCGTTATCTCCATATATCCTTCGTTCAATATAATCAGTTTGATTAAGGTAAAAAGTATTGTTTCTCTAATTGCTGATATTTTTATCGTGTGAATATGTTTTAAATAGATGTGTTGAAAAACAGTGCCAGTAGCTGGTCATTAATTATATGCATGCTCTACGTAACTATGAACAATTTCTAAAACGAGTTAAATTATTGACACACAAGTTGATTAAACAAAAATATCAGCAGTCTCCTTTTTAAGTCATCATTCCGTAAGTTTTATGGTCGATACAATGACTTTGTCAGCAAATACAATTTATCATTGAGTCAAATGCTGACGACTGACGTTTTTTTAAATACTTATTGTTGGTCCAAAATTTATAGATTGAATTGCAGACGGATTTGTCCATTATTTCCAGATCATGTAAAGCAGCACACAGCGGATGTGACCGGTTGTGAGGGAATGCTAGCTACTCCTTGTTACTTTAATAATCAAACCTTGTTGTGTTTTGGAGGTCCGTTTTGCTCTTTTGTATTGTTTTGTGGACCTTTGATCTTGAAAATTTTTCGTTGCAGATTAAATTCTTAAAAGAGAAAAGTATTTTTTATGGAATACGGATAGGGCCATGCAGTTCACCATCGTACCATCGCGCAGTAACTTAAGGATCGACGGCGCAATAATGCAAAGGCGCGATAACGATGATGTGATGGTACGATGACGATGGAGCTATGGTGTGATAGCAAGATGATGATGATTAGGCGATTGCACGACAATGCGAAAATTATGGTGAGATGACACGATGGAGAGATAGTGAATATCGCTTCATCATCATTGTATCATCGCAGCATCGTTATCGCTCCATCCCGCAACGCTATCGCACAATTGCGCCATCGCACTATCGCTCCATCGCACTATTGCATCATCGTCCTCGCGCTTTTGCATAATCATTTCATTGTTATCGCATCGTCGCTTCATCAAATCATTTGATTAATAATTCAATCCTAAAAAGTTTGCTTAGGACTAACTCTTAATTCAGTATTTTTCTTCTTGAACTTTACTTCTTAAATACTTATTATAATGTTTACTTAGATTAAACGACGTTTTGATTTTGGCATATACGCTTGTACTTCTGTTTATTTATGTCTTGAATCTTAAGAAACATGTCAATCTTTAAATTTAGTTAATGTAAACTTTTTCCAGTGAAAATAAATGCAGTTTTTCTACTTTGAGTCCACAAAATTGTGAAGATGGAAATACTTTAAGATTCACCTTGTTTTTAATATGTAATCTGGATGGATATCGATTTTATTCAAGATGAATCAATAAAAAGTATTTTTAAAATAAAAAATATGAAGAAATACAAAAATGAAAAGAAATCTTTATTTTGCAAATAAAAACAATGACTACAGGATATTTTGCTAAATGAATCGTAAAATATTGTAAGAAGATTTATCATTGGAGTCTCATTCTCTTTTAAAAATGATTTTTGAAGCCATTTTATAAACGCTGAATTGTCTACAAATTTTCGGTTTGCCAAACCATGACAATAAGCGTAATGAGGATGCTTACTGGCTACATGGAACCTGGTCACTCCAATGATGTTTTTCAAAAAGCAATCGCTTGCTCCGCTCCCAATTTAAATTGTTTTATTAGACATCTGGGCTTGATTACTTGTCGTATTCCTTTTTCTTAATAATGTCCTGGACTTGGTAAAACCTCATGAAATAATTTTTTTTACCTTACAATTTTTTGGGTTTTTTTTGCACAAGAATGAAAAAATAGAGATGCCATTTATTGATTTTAAGTGAAACGAAATTAAACATATTCTAAAATAGTTTTGAAAAAAAGTTAAAAATATACTTTTTGGATGTGCAGAGCTATTCCCAAAAAAATGAAAATCGAAGTGTTCACCAAGCGCATGCTCATTGTAGTAGAGTTATAATGCATGATGGTCTTTTCATCTGTAAGACATCTGATTCCACTAAATTTTACGTCGACGATTTCAAAGCCAGGAACCCCTATATCCACCAAACCCCATTTGTCTCTGTCTACAGACACGTTTTTCTGCATCATACAGCTGATAGGAATATCAGGATCAATTGATACACAATCTCTTTGTGAAACTTCAGCCATCTTTGTTTCTAGATACAGGAAAAAGTGCTTTTATATTAAGTTATTGACTGTAATTAACTGTATTAAAATATATCAAATTTTACATTTCATTACCTCTAACGTTGTTGAAGCAGCTATTATGAAGAAATAAGATAGCAACATAGTTTGATACGTTGCAGCTTTTAACGATGGCTTTTGTGAAAAAGATATAACCATCTCCTTCTCTCTCTCAAAAAAAGAAACATAATTATCATATATAGAAAGAAATACTAAACTATACTATGCTAAACTTTAATACTATATTAAACACTTTCGTATAGATTCTTTTACCATTCGATCCATATAAAGGAATGTGAACTGTTACTGTCAAGGTACCATTCACGGCTCCACATCTGTACATCTTTCCAGACGTTTGATTAGTCGGGCACTGCACTTCACTGATGTTGTAAACTTTCTGGTTAGGAGGGAAACTGGCACATAGAAAATCCGTGATACCGAGGCCATCACTGATAAATGGGGCGTAGTCTGTTAAAACCAGATGGGTGCACTGAGGGCAAGTCAGTCCTGAGTATCAAAACATGAGAATTACTTGCAATTAGTTTCCGATCACATCTTATTGCTTCTCAAAGTAACTCAAACAGGGTACAATATGATTTTCTGTATAAAGAAAATCATAATTCACTATAAGATATATTTAATCAATTACTGAAATGTGTTTGCATATTAATATGCAATATATTGAACAATTTTATAGATAGAAAGATGGTAAAAATTGTTTTTTATAAAGTATTTGTTGCTGATAATTAATAAAAATGAGAAAGTATAGTAACGGCCAAATATTTTGGACCCTTATTGATGTAAAAATTTTAACACACTTTTAATTATTATAATATGCATTGAAAAACTTCAAATATTTCTGGTTTTAAAACCATGCAGCAATACATTTAATTCAAATAATACAGGGAGACAACATGATGGTCCTGAAGTTGGGCATTTTATCGAATTTCCTCAATTCCAATGGAATTTCATAACATTTGAGATACTTCACATTTCGGGAAATATGGAGCACAAACTTACCTATCTGAGATTTAAATACACAAGAATCATCTAATATTAGTGCATGAAATATTTTAATTTGGCAGGTAGGAAAGCTCGTTTTCGAAAACACAATGTGCTATAAAATTGATGAAAATTTGCACAAAGATGAGAAGATTTGAAAAATCGCATATTTTGTGACCTTCCTGTGACTTTTGTGTACCCCCTAACTTAGAATCAATACTCATATTGTAAAAGGGATTATAGCAAGATTTTAATGATAAACTATTGTATCCTTCCTGGAGACACCAAAACTCAGGATCCACAATAGGGTTTTAAATGATCTTGTCCAAATTCTTAGAACATGTACATACCAATGTTCCGAATGTTCCAAATTCTGTGCTTTTCAAATGTTTTAATAACAACCTTATCAATTTCATAAAGATTAATCTGTTTAAAAATGTATTGCAAAAATCATTAGATAGAGACAAGAAGAGTCTAGTCAAATTTCATTTCTATAAAGAATATTATCAGGAAAAATGTCTTTTTCTAAAGAGTTACTTGTGAATTTAGCCTTATTTTCGTCCTCTCAAACTCCGATTTTATCTTACAAATATCCATTTTTTTTAAATTTCATTTTTCGTTTTAAATAATTCTTCATGACGTACACTAATTCTTCGTTATATTTTAGCACTATCTCAACCATTAATACTTAGTACTTCAATATGTCTTGAGCACAGACATAATGCAGGCCACTAGTATAAATGATGGACTAATTTGTAGGATAAAGTCTATAAAAAAACTGAAGGATAAAAATATCAACCTTTTGCAATAAACACTTTCCAGCGACTTTTCCCAATACATTGAAGAAAATTATTGTTTGTTACATGATATCCATCCTAAAAAGCAAGTTGTAACATTATATAAGGATTCATTAAATTGTATACTTGTTTTAAATTGAGAGGAGGATCTAGACGGACTTGAAATATTATATAATTTTGCCCTTGACAGTTGGTCATAATTTTGCCCCGACTGTTTTCAGCGAATTTTGTTACATCAGATGTTTATATACGACAGTCTAAGGAGTTGTAAATCAATTTCATATTTTAAAAAAAATTAATTACAAATGATTAAAAAATTACCAAGAGCAAAAGGAAATCGATATTAATCGAAATATAAAAGCTTTTGTGTGATACATTGAATTTACAAGCATCATAATTTACATACAATAACGACCTCATTAACATAACTAAAGATGCTTAACAGCTAAACAAGTGGGGGATAAAATAAAAAGATAATTAATTGTAATTAGATGTAATATTGTGGATATTTGTAATGTACAATTTCAAATCAGTAAACTTCTTAGATAAAATTCCTTTTTCTTGAAAAGAATATATCATACGTACCTGTTTATGGAAAGAATTTTAAGGTCTGAATAATATCTTTTATTTGTAAAAGAAAGCGTTAATAGTCTCTTTGTAATGATGTAACACTCTTGTATACAGATATCGAGGTTGTTTTTTTTCCAGGAAATGGGAGGTGATCTTTAAATATTTCCAAAATATTATCTACGCAATTCGGTTAAACAACTATTTTCGTGATTTTCATGATTTGTTAAGATATCATAAAACAATCGAAACAATGGTCCAAAAGTATACTCCTGAAATCTCCACATTCTTTTCTAATTATATGTAATGGGTTCAAACATACAACCAAAAAGTGGGAACAAAATTTTATGTGTGTAATTTCTATTTGTCTTCGAAATCAACTACATGTATATTGATTAAAGATGCTTTAATTTCCTAAATATTCACTTTGAATCATTTTGAACAAACGCTTGACCAACGTTGAAAAGCCCTCTAAATGAACATCATTCGGGTCAGCATTGAACTTATATTACATGTTAAACATATATTGACCATTCCAACATTTCTTGCTTATCCCTATTGTCTTCGACAAAAATATTTGAATTATTTAATTAAATTTGTTATAATTTTAATTGAAAAAAATATTTTTTGACTATGTTATGAAATGATCACATCACAACACAGTAATTGTTTCATGCCAACATCTACAGGGTAAAATAAGCAGCACTTTGAAAAATAACAGATTTCGAAAAAAAAATGTAAGTGCGTTAAATGTTGGACAATTATAAGGCTAAGCCCCCTATAATCCCCCTTTAAGTCCCCTCTTCCAAGTTACGACGCCTTCTGTACTTATGATATAATTGAACATTTCATGGATTTTCAATTAAAAAACACAAAAAATCAATGCTTTAAGGACTTTGATTTTCATTTGATTGTATTTAGAATTTTCCAAAGAAATTCAACAATATGGTGTCCAATGTTATAAGTCATTGAAAAAAATGATCTAAATACTTGCATTTGAATGGCAGAGTCTTTATTATACTTATTCGATCAGCATGAACAATTGTGTATTCCCGCATAATATGATAAGTCTTTCAATTCGTTGCTTAGTTAATATTAAGACATCTAATAAAAATATTTTGTTTATGCATTGTACACAATTTTGTGTTTGATTATATTATATTTGATTTGTAATTATTTATTTTTATGTTATATCTATGAAAACATTTGTTCAACAGAAAACACAAAGACAAAAAAAACCACCAAGAAACAATATTAAGGACAAGAGATAGTTTAGACAAGGTACATGCTTACAGATTTCTCAAATTGAAACGATTTTCTTTAATAATTCATATCAATTGAATCTTATCATAATAAGGTGTATCGATTTATAATTTGTAGGGAAACTCAACGAGAAAACCAATTTTAATTTTAAATGAAGAAAAAAGGATATAAGCATTGGTGTTCTCTCCATCTCAGACAAAGAAGTTTTAAATTGAATTCCAAGAACATTCATTATCCTCTATTGAAATCTTAAAGAGTCATTTATATGATGAAATTATATTTGCAAAGCAAAAATATTTTAAATAATTATACATCGTTTTTTAATTAGCTCAATATAGAGATTAATGTGTACCGTAAAATTAAAGAAGGATTATTGAATTTAATAGAACCAATCATTTAGGGTTATTTTATGATTATCAATTTTTTAGTGTACACATGTGAATTTGTTTGTTAATTGTTTTTTTTTATATTTGTGTTCTGCTTTGCTTATTTTAGTTTTTTGACTTTATAAGAAACTTTTTTTTCTCATGAATTTTTATTTTCATATAGTCTTTACATTCTAAGAAAAACATGCACAGCTGTATATATTGCAGAATAAGTCTAAATTTACACTGAAAACCCTGTGTTGTATTGAGTTTTTTTGTTTATGTAAATAACTTAAATAACGCAGCTTTTGTTGTTTTGTTTTTGTAGACCAAAAGCATAATTTCTTCTTTACTGCGCAATGTTTTATAGTATAAACATGAGTAAAAACAAACATCTTTATTTATTAAAGCTAAAGTTTTACATAACGATAGGAAGAATGTGGTAACTTAAGGGGTCTACGCCTACCGCAACTTTACAATGATATTTTGTACTAAATCTCAAAGAGAAAATTCTCCTTCAGATTCAAACTGTTATAAAACAATGCAATACTGTCCAAAGCGAAGGGTATCATATCCTGATAAAGTTAAGTGAGTAGCATAAACATTAGATTAAATCCTCTTTATCAAAATCGGTCACTAAAAAAGCGCCACCTGTATTATACACATTTGAGAACAATCTCCTGAAAATATATGAAAGGAAAATATCAAAGATCATGCATGATTTATTGTACTCAAAATAATACATGTATTAATTATTTGAAAGGTTTTATATACTGACACGCAAAAGAAACGCAACATCCTAGTTTAGGGGGAAATAATTATGTAAAGTAAAAAAAATTGTATCTTAAAATTATGGATATCTTCAATTTGGTAAACATCGGTAATTTAACGGTTGAACGATTTTCATACCATAACTGGAAGTCAAGTTTGAGTCTGCTTAACAGAAATTAAGAATTGCATGTTTAACAAAATATTTGGCAATATTATGGAGTTTTAAGGGTTTTAACTGTTCATCATAAATAATGCAGCAATATTTCAAAAAAGAAAGTTAATTCTCTTTTCGTTTCTCGTAACGATGCTAAGACTTCTTGAAAATGGCTTAAGTACGCATTTCCATTGCTCTAGTTGGAAAATTTCATTGTAAAGGTGATGAATAGTTGCTGATGCAAAAATTCACATCAATACGCCTCAACAGGGTATTATGTATCATATTCATTAAGGACAGTCCTTGTACCGGAGTCCAAGGGTGGCTACACTGCTCTAAGTTAGAGAAAATTCGACATAATCATCTGAAAAACAGGCATTTAAAAGTGGCAAAGAATAATTCCTTCGCTAAGATCTCGATATTGATGAACCTATTGTATCGAACAATTAAGCTGCATTTATTGTTTAGGCCAGTCTTGCACGTTTTACTTGAATGGCTGGGAGGGGGTGTTTTAACAGTCATATGTCACTTAGCAAAGTAAAAAAGATAAACATTTAACATTTTTATCAAATCTCTGATGTTCTAAAAAGTGAGTTTAGCCATACTGTATTCATTTTTGAAAATCATAAGATAAAAAATTCAACCATTTGTAGATTACTGCTTGTTGCATTTTTTGCTAGTCAGTATATTATAATAAAAACTGTGTTCTTAATGCCTTTTAATACATTAATATTAACTTAAACTGATCTTAGTACAGTATTGTACTTGGACAGTGATTTTTAATTGAAATATACGAATTAATATATATTGGCATTTTTAAAAAAAATTCCCAAAAAATTACTTTAAAATTAATTCATAGCTCAGCTTGTCTATCGAGTCATATTCATAGCTTGAAATTATTCATTTGTTTTATGTTTCCTCATGCTGCACAATCTTACCACAGCTCTGTTTTTGCTGAGATATAATCAAATAAAATCAACACCATCGTTGAGATGAAATATCTCGTTTATCAAAATCACGAAATAAGAAAAAATATATACATCATATGATAGGGGATCTGATCAAAAGATAATTGCACAACTACATACTCATACACTGATCCTTTAAATTAACAGATAAACAATATTTGCAAAAATATAAGAACAGTATGTATACAGGAAAAAGATGGCTCTACAAAACTGTTTCAAATATAATCTATATATCAATTTAAAATATATAAATGAAAGTAAGGTAGGAAAAGCTTGGAAGGCGGTGGGTGTGCTTTTTTGCAGTTATTGATAGCGTCTATAAAGCGAGAATGACCCATTGCTGACTGGTCAGTCACAGACAGCATATTGGCTGATTGTCTACGAAGGAATAGGGTTTGACCAGGGAAAATTTTGGACTTGTGTAACAAGCAGCCGAAACTGAAGAATTGGAGGAGATTACATAACATGGAACCTGACACTTGAAATGCCTGGGAGAATTCCAGCAAATGGGGAAAAATCAAAACATTCAGTTTGAACAATCAAATAGAATATCTATTTACTTACATCTAGACAAAAGAAAATAAACAGCATTCAACACATTAATGTACGGAAGCCCATTTAGGACCAATCAAAAATATTTTTGAATTCGTTATAACGATTTTTTTTAGAAATTGTTATAACGAATTTAATTTGTTATAACAGATTTTTAGAATTCGTTATAACGAATTTAATCTGTTATTACAGATTTGTCGAATTCGTTATAACCAATTCAAGGAATTTGGTTATACCGAATTCAACAAATCTGTAATAACAGATTAAATTCGTTATAACGAATTCAACAAATCTGTAAAAACAGATTAAATTCGTTAAAACGAATTCAATGAATCTGTTATAACAAATTAAATTCGTTATTATTAATTTAATAAATCTGTTATAACAAATTAAATTCGTTATAACGAATTCAATAAATATGTTATAACAAATTTAATTCGTAATAATGAATTCTAAAAAATCGTTATTACTAATTCAAAAATAATTTTTGATAGGTCCTAAACGGGCTTCCGTATTAATGAAATTATTTACATAATTGTTGTTTGCTCTCTATAGAATGACTGCAATATAAACGTGATAATATTTATGGAAATTATTCAATTTGAAAGATTTATTATAATTGAAAAATTCAATTGAAATTTCGAAATTTTATTCATCATATTGAATGACAGTATTTTATTTATTTTTTGCATTACAATTCTTTTACCATGATTTTTTTAGGGTAATGAAAAGAAAATCTTAGGCTAGAACACTATTATTAATTTACATAATGAGACTTAAAGACAACCCTTTAAAAAGTACTTTTCATACTTTTCATCCTTTAAAAAATCATCTTCTTTTTTTTTTAAATAACATTTCTAAGTTTTTAAAATATAAAAAAATTTAATATAAAAGTCTACATGAACTACTCTAAAAGGGAGTTGAAGCCATTTCTATTAAAGTTATAATATTTCTTTCAGAAACATTTATCTATAAAGTTAAGAATATAGAATTTACATGTCGCAAGAGAAATTGAAAATAATTTAAACATTCTGATATGAGTGATTTTTTTTTAAATTAGACTTGTAATGATATAAATGTATCTTATCATTGCACCGTTTTTATTTCCTTATTTAAAGGATTTCTTAGTATGATATGACCAAAAAAATGGTTTAAGCTAGGTAAAAGCCAGTTATGTCCCTTACCGATATTTTCAAATATCGTATATTTTTATTAATAATGCTACTATAGTTTGGTCATAAAATCTATCAAAACATCTTACATGTACTTATTTCTATGAAAGTCTGTTTTCCAGTCTGCTTGCAGACGTGTCATCTTTGGATCTTGGTTTATTTGAATGAAAAATACGAGTATATGGGGATAACAAACAGTTTTCAAACTCAAAATTCCATTAAATAATGCAAATTTTGGGACAAAATACCTCTTGAAATTCAAACGTAGGGTCGGGTGCCATGGAGGGGTGAGCATCCCTTGCAGACCGGTCAAACCCAATTTACAAAAGCTCCCTTTCTGTGAAGAATTTATTCATTGATCTTTGTCCTAAGGTTTAAAAAAAATTATTGCTTCTCATCAAATGTAGATTTCTAGTAATGTTATAATAGTCTGATCTTCTCCCTTTTCTGTTACATTCAATGAACAAGGTATATAATGTATGAGAATTCTTTTCTTAAACCCCCGCAAACCAAGTTTAGGGGGGTTAAAATCAGCATATCCGTCTGTCTGTAGACGAGATCTTGTCCAGATCATATCTCAGAAACCATTGAAAGGATTTGTCTGAAAATTTGTACACTCATTATTCACTATATGAAGATGTGTACTTGCATTTTCATCTTGATTGGTTGATTATTTTGCATTTTTCATGTGTTTTTTATTTCATTTTTATTTTGTGGTTTTGCTCGGACACTTTCTCGGAAACTATTGCAGGGATTTGTCTGAAAATTTGTCCACGTATTATTCACCATATGTAGGTGTGCTCCTGGTATTTTCAAGTTTATTTGTTGATTTTTCTTAATTTTACAGGTTTCTTTTTATTTTAATTGACTAGTTGAGTCAAAAATATAATATTGAGTTTTGTATGAAAAGCTGTAAATGCATCTCTTATCAAGCATATGTTATCTATATCTCCTAGGAATTCGGCACAAGAATTAAAGATCTATCTCAATTGTATTTTATTGTCTGTCCAGCTTTAATGACTGGATGACCAGGTTTTTATTTAAAATGCATTTGATATGAAGTTATCAAGATTAATCATAAACTTTAGTTTCATTCATAAAAAATATAATAAGCAATTATATTTTTACTCTAAATGTATGTAAGAAAATTGTGAACACCTCTTAGATTCATAGATTAAATATAATACTTGTTAATCGGCAACTTCACTGAATTGGACAGTTCTAGTTTTGGAACTGGGTCTCTTAAGATTTATGAATGTCTTCAGGACCAATTCTTCTGTAATATTTTTCACTATGTCTGGAATATTCTTTCCAAATTGAACATTTCTGCATGTAGAAGGAAATCAGATATCGTTGCATTTTGTTCGAAATGGTGTCTTTTAAGTTTAAATACTGTTCAGTATTATAATTTCTCACATAATTTCTTTGAAGTCCTTTTAGGAACATTTATCAAAGAAAAGACTGGAGAAAGCTGGACTTATACATCTTTTTGAAGTAGTAGTCTTACTTATTTAATGATCCTTCTGCTTTCATATGAACAATGTTTTCGCGATTTTCATTTTAACTGAAAATATTTAATCAAAGAATTCACTATCAATATCTCAAAATACAATATACATGTATCCATTACATTAGAATGATGTTTCTATATAAAGATTAATTGATTTTACGATTTTGACTGTGAACATTTTTACTTATATATTCAACTTATAACGACCACAGAAAATACTTTTCGTTAATCGAGAAGCTTTCAGAAAATTAGTTCATATTCTCCCTTTCAGGAAGTTGTATTCTTTTTTATGTGTATCCTATATCAATTTTCAGGTTCCAAGTTTTCCTCCCATAAAACATCAAATATTTTGTTTAAAAAAATTAAGATGACATTTTGGAGTTCACTCGTCGGATTTGTGTTTGTTTCCTTAACAGGTAAAGCAGCGTTTATCATATTAATATAGATTTTCTGTGTTTTTTTCAGACGTGCTTTAATGTCTAAGACATAAAAAGCGTTCGTGATGCATAATAAAAAAAATCGAATCACTTAATATTAAATATTAACAAATTTCAATTTTTTTTCTAAATGGAAATGTCCTGAATAAATGCTTTCTTTCAAATCTTTCATACCGTTGGTATTCAAAACAAAATGTATAAGTGTACATATTTCCAAATGTTATCTTTTTTAGGTATAAAATTTTTTTAAAGATATATTTTAATTCTTAGTCTTTTAGGTATTTCGAAAATCTAACTGTTCATTAAAATAGCAAATACTCCATGAACTTGACAAATGGCCAACACGATAATACATTTAGATACATTAAAATACATTTAGAATTAAAACGGAAACAAATTGAAATGAAATATGAAGTTAACGAAGATTATTCAGAATCATAGTGCATTATTATCTTGGCGGTTTTTTTAGTTTATCTAATGTTTGTCTGATGGCAGATAGGGTTAAACGTGTAAACAAAAGATTTCTTATTTATAAGGTAGTATATTCCAATTTATAGAAAAAAAATTATAACGGCATGTAATTATTGTTTTGGTCCAACAAAATTTTAGCCTATCTCGAGTATGCTGAATCAGAAAAAAAAATATGCTGGCCTTTATGAAAATGCAACTAAAAATGTCAAAATGGCAATTTTTTTCTTATTTTCTCTGAATTCTGTTCAAATACATGTAAGAAAAAAATGTGTGAATATCTCACTGAGGGTAATACATCTATAAAATTAATGAAAGAATGCTAGATTTATAACTTTAATTCAGAATAATTTAATAATTTTCACACATAAATCGAATTTCCTTTAATTTATTCAACTATCGTTTCAAATATCCATACACTGCAGATTAGTATTTTTTCTTCCGCATCTCACTATTGTTTAACTAAATAATGATACCTCTGTAATTTATAATTTAAAATTTGAAAAAGAAATATATATAATGACTTATTCATAGGTTTACAGCAAACAACCTAGTACATCAATCCAATCTCATTGGATTTAGTAATGTGAGGTTACCACTACACCTGCCTTTCCTTATATCACGTATTTCCAGGCATTGTGTTCGCTTTCGTGCATATAAAATGAATAGGAAACGTACTTTCTTATTTCTTTATGTTTGGTGCTGCACATTAGTGGGCACTGTGTATTTGTTACGCAACTTAATTTTTTATCATTTAATTTTCCATCTGCTCAACCTTCTATTGATATGTACAGTACTACAGTGAGTGACTTGTATTCATTTAAAAAATATTTTTCTAAAGCTCTGTATTGATTGATTGTATGTTGTTTAACGTCCCTCTCGAGAATTTTTCACTCATATGGAGACGCGTCATTGTATGCCGGTGAAGGGATTCAAATTTTGACCTTTACTCGGCACTCAGAGACATTGAGCAGTGAGGGATCTTTATCGTGCCAACATCTGCCGCTGACACGGGGCCTCGGTTTTTAAGGTCTCATCCGACGGACCCACAACTTTCTCTTCAAAGTGTCGAGCGCATGGCGAAGGAACAGTTGCTACCCATCTTTTATCGACTTAGGTCAGTCGCGGCCGAGATTCGAACCTTTGACCTCCTGCTCACGAAGCGATCGCTCTACCGACTGAGCTACCGTGAACGGTCTGAAGCTCTGGAAAAGACAAATATTTTGCCGAAACAATTTAAAAGGAAAACTTTCAGGCTTAAGAAATGTTCCAGCGGCAATTCTGGAAATGATGAGCTAGAGCCTTTTACGAGGGTTGTCCCAAAAAGTCGTAGACAGGGAAAACAGTTTAGTTTTTCTTTGCTAAATTAAATTTCTTTTCTTATCAAAGCAAAGAGTAACATTTTATGATCATGCATTTTAAGTTTCATGATGATATCACATTCAATGAGAAAATTATGACAAAATAAAGAAAGCATGTAAGTGCACAAAACCAAGCGCAATTTACGTCTCTTATAACCCTTGACTTAGGGTCTTATATAAATTCAATACTGTCCTTATCATTTAGGAAAGATTCAATATTCAATCGAAATTCTGTCGAAAGATCACCTTACATTATAGGCAGAATACACTGTTTGACGGCCCAGATCGTTCCCCACTGTCTGTGTTTAACAAACAGTTCTTCATACATGAAAGAACTATTTTCGGTATAGAGGAAAAACTATCATTGAATCTCATACCATTAAAAAACAACTTCTCTATTAGTATCTAGTGTTAAATGTCATTTCTGTATTCTTCTTTCCCGTCTCTGGTGTATATATACCTTATTAAGAAAATATTACATTTCCATGCCCCCATTACGCGTTTGATGACGTCTTTTTTTCAAACTCAATTCCAACAACACTTAAATCATGACACCAGTCGTCTGTTTCTTATGCTATTGATATGAAAATTTGAAATGTTACTAAGATTTTGATTCTGTTTTCTCTTATTTAAATTCAAGTTCAATGTTTTACATCGTACGAAAGAAATAAAGGGAAATGTAATAGTTATGTGCGTGAATTATTCCAAATTTTGTTTGTGCGCCGATACACCATATTGGGCTTCATATAAATTATCCCAATATTATTAACATGAAGAGTATTTATTGACGAATTTACAGTTTTAATGAACAGTGGATATATTATGGCCATGCTAAATATGGTTAGTAATGGTTGCATGTTAAAAAAATATATAAACATTTACGACTTTTTTGGACAACCCTCGTATTTTCCTTCAATATCCCCTATTTCAGCTCTAAATGCTATTTGTCTCAGTCAGTCTTCGGAATAATACTCTTTTCAGCAGCTTAAGAAACAACATATTTATGTTCAAATGTAAAAAAAAATGTTTTTCCCAAAACCTTATGCCAAATGGGGTAAATCTCTGATAAGAGGTAGCTTTCTCATTTTTGATCATATGGATCTGTTGTCTTTTTGGATAAAAAAGTCGTTCTATAATCAAAGAAGTCCTAAAACTTTATCATCACACTGTGTGCATTCTTGGGTGAGAAAAGTTATGTGTGCGATCAAATACCATCAGCGGATTCCTTATAAATCCTATCATATTAAAGCTTTCATTTCAATAATCCAATGCCATTCTTGACTTTCATCTAATCAACACTTCTCTTGACAACAATTTGTTAACATACCAAGAACTTTACAAGGCAGCTTGATCCACATTACTTTGTTAGGATAGTATATGGTTGTATCTAGAATCGAGGGCCGGAGGATTGAACACAAACATTTTGTTTTTTCTGAGTTTGTAAATTTTTAAAACAATAGTCACCGAATTCCATCCGCCTATGACAAAAAGTACATGTTTGGGTATCGATTTTGTTTTTGAACGTTTACAGTTTTCCATCATTTATTAATAATATACTAAGTAATGTTGCACTAGACATTCCACAGAAAAGAGAAACATTTATTTTTTTCTTCACTGAACAAAAAGTAGAATGTTTACTTGCCTTTTGGCTACTCTTGGGGTAGCTTAATTGCCATAATGTCCACCAAGCAGCAATTTTTGTGTGATATCGTTGACTTTTAATATTTTGAAAAGATGGTAATAAGTTTCTTTGTAGATGTTGTCAATAGCTTATCTTATAATAGAAGTAATAAAACAAAGATCTGTGTTATAAAAATAATTAATCACTCATTAAGATATCCTTAATGTTTTAATGAATATTTAAACATTATTTTCTTAATTCATAAATGCAAACTGTAATTAATTTAATTAATTTCCTTTTATTTTCTACATAACGACTCAAAATTACCCGATAAGCAGTTTGAATATTGAATGAAAGTCAACTGTTCGCCTATTCAAATCGCCATTTTAAGCTAATTTAAATAATTTTCAAATTTTAACGACTTAATTTTCCGAATAAACGTGATAATATTAGTGTTTTATCATGTCATAATTAGGTCTAAACATTGTTCCATATATTTTAACATACACTTTTTCGTTATGTAAATGACAGTTTTCCATAACATTTTATCTGTTCAGTAGAATTTAGTTGACGGGTTTAAATCCCGTGCTGTTATGTGGTCAGTTTGGGTGTAGAAATTGAGTAGAGCAGACGTAATTCACTTACTCGAGTAAATACAGTATTCTACGTAAAGATAAAAAATATTTGACCAGACTTTGCATCTTTTCTGAGGTACAATGTAATTTTGATTTATCAATTTAAAGGTTTTATCTTATACTCATAAAGTTTCCTGAAATGGCCAAGACCTTAGTTCTTAACTTTGTTGTAAACTACATGATTGAGTAATATGTGTATTGCTATCATTTCAAGTACTAGTATTATGCTAATAGTATATGAAGTCATTCTACCTAAACAGCATTTTTTAATATGTATTTCGGCAAATAAATGTCATAACTTTAAAGAACTTATTCTAGTATTCCTTTTTTGTGGCGACCAATCAGCATGCCTGTGACGTATTATCATTTTCATAGTTTGCATTTCGCTGAGTAAGATATTAACACATCCTTTCTCCAATTTGATCGACACTTAGGAATATTCTTTTTAAAAAATGGATATCCATCATTTTGAATCGCCATTTTGACTTATAACATACAACTTCACATTATTCAGTTGTAAAGGAAAAAATCGCATTCTGTTGTGTATGTATAATTGAAAATGTATAATTCTGAATAAAGCAGAAAAAGAAAAAAATCGATAAATAGATCAGAGAAAATTCGAGTTAAGTGGAGAAATTACTATTTTTTCCTGAATAAAAGTAATTTTACTAGCGTTCTACTAGTTTTCTTTTTTTAAATTTATATTTGTATTACAGCAAGTGAGATATTCACACACACTTTTTCCTATTAGACCATATTAAGAGAAAACAAGAAAAATTTGATTTCGCCATTTTGAATGGCCATTTTTTTCTTTTAATGCCATTTTTATGAAGGCCAGCATAATTTTCGGATTCAGCATACTCGAAATAGGTTTAAAATGCTGGACCGAATTATGATTATTTGCCGTTAAGACTTATGTCTAGCCTTTAAAAAAAGTAGAACCAGACTAAGACAAAGATATCTTTATTTCAACTTTGTTTATACGTACATACATCGAACACAAAACTGCATAACTTTGGAATTGTAAGAAATATATGTTAATGATTTTTTAAAAACGTCATCATGATGTAAAAATAATTTGTCAGTCTTTAATACTTTTTTTGCTGCTATGAAATCGGTGAAAAATTCCACCCTGTCATTTAAATCATACCATCCTCCCCACTCTCACTCCGTCCAAACATGACAATTTTTGATGTTCTTCAAAGTTTTTATACAATAAGTAGTTATCATTTGTCTGGTTTTATAAAACGAAGATTCACAGGTTATTTAATTTTGCCTATTTTTAAAATATCAATCTTTTTAACGTATTTGCTCTAACAATTATTGAAATATAAATGTATCCGTCATTGCTAATTCGCACACATCAGCAATAAATCAAAATATCAAATAAAAAAAAATTAACCGTTTCTGTATCAATATGTAATATCTGTTATATAGGAAGGTGGTTATATCTCAACCCATATTGACTGTCGATTGCCTGGAGTTTTGTATAAGGAAATGAGAAACATAACAGAATCTGGAAGACTTTGTCAAAGATGGGATGCACAGAGCCCTCATAAACACACGTACAACTTATTTAGTCTAGCACAAGAAAACTTTTGCCGTAACTTTGATAGAGAGGAACCATGGTGTTTCACAAATGACTCTAACGTTCGTTGGGAACTTTGTGGTGTTGAAGTCTGTGGTTGGTATACATAAACATTAATATTAACTGTAAAGCGCATTCAATAATATATGATAATATATGATTTTTTTTATTGATTATGAATGTGTTCCTTCATTTATGTTGCCATTTTTGTTGCATTTCAGAATCTCCATGTCTCAATCAGTCCTTTGGAGGAGAACTTATAGCTCAGTGTCCTTCTAAAATTTTACAGGGTGGTGAATTCTGCAGGTTTGCTCTTTATTTTAAAATGTTAGCTTTTGCTTTGTTTCTCTGAATTCGAAATAGATTTTAATGCCATTGCGTGTATACTCACGCGCAGGGAGAAAACTTGCGCTAAGCTGACGTCACAGTTAGCCTACAGAGACGTCAACAAAAATGCAACCACATATGGCAACAAGACATTTAATATTGAGTTTATTTTTATGCTTAAAACATTTAAATTGTAAATATAATGAATTACCAAAATTAAATGTGTAAATGACACAAGTTTCCACGTACGCACATTTTTCTTGAAGAGTCAATGCGCTTCATATATAATATGCCTAAGTGACAAGTTATATGATTTAAACACCAATAATTCACACAAAATTTAGGTTTCTTTAAAGATTGTGCATATACTTATTTATGATTTCATATTTGACTTATCTACCAACGTAAAACCAAAGAGACATATTTAACATAGAGATATGTACTTTTAAGATTAGGGAAACATCTGCATGAACTGAGTATTTCCATCTGTTTTTAGTTCAATAAAAAACCATGTTTCCTGTTTCAAGAAAAATGTTGAAACTTTAACTGATACACCATGTCCAGAGGTCGGCTGGAGATCAACTGCACTGCAAATTCAAAGTTTTATAGAAGGGTTCCTTGGCATGTCTATCTCTGAATTTGAGTTTTAAATTCAACTTTTTTCTGATATCCATTCTATCATATATATGCTCTTGTACATTGTTTAAGATGTGATTGTCCAGAAAATGAGATCAATTTTTAATGCAAAATATAAATTTCGACGACTAACAACACGCTGTGTTACACGTAACATGTTCTTTTTCAATAATTTCTCAAAAATTGCAATAAATAGGGGAAGAAAACTTCCGAATTTCTTCCAACCTAAAAATAGCAATAATAAAAAAAAAATCATTGTGATTCAAAGTCAGAAAGTTTTCTTATCATGATACAGTAAAACTCGGTTATAGCGAAGTCATGGGGACTCGTGAATTTAATTCGCTATATCCGTAATTCGTTATATCCGTATAACGAATTCGTGTAACCATTAAAGCGAATTCGCAATATGGACGTTTTCCTTCAAGTATTACTACCAAATATGTTAGGGAAGGCTATATTACAAACATATCTTCGATAACTAAGGTTTTATTATGAATTAAATTTTTATATACAAATTCTTAAAGAAAATAAAGTCAGTTTTATTTTATTAATTTTTTATAATCTTTGAAAGTTCGTTATAAAAGATGTAAATTTCATTATATTTAACCTTTACGGGACTCAAAATCAGTTCGCTATATCCATAAATTTGTTATATCAGAGTTCGTTTTAACCGTAAAATTTTACAAAGATTTGTTAAGAATTTTGCTGGGGACCCAGAAAAACTTCGCTATATCCGTAAATTCGCTATATCCGTGTTCGTACTAAACGAGTTTTACTGTACTAAAAAAATGTCCCGATATGAAAGACTATCTTTAACAAAGCATATTTCATTAAATCCTTAAATGAAGAAAACATTACAGAGTCAAAATTGGTAAATGTGTTAATGTGTGAAGAAAGTTTTTTTTTACCTTATTGATTTTTAAGCTACCTTAGTAAACTGAGGTGACCTATCGCTATCTGTTTTTAGTCCGTCGTCGTGCTGTATGCTAATCTTTGAATTTTTTCACCTTTTTTCTTTGCAACCGTTCGACCAATTGCAACCAAATTTAGAATAAAACATGTATGGGTTAAGGGGAAATTGTGAATTTCATGGTCCCTGTCTCCTTGGGGCCTGAGGGGGCGAGCAAAAACCGCTTAAACTAATGTAATCTTTACAAATAACTGTTGTGAAATTCATGGCCTCAGAGTCAGGGGTTCTAGTGCTAGAGTGGTGTATTGACAGTCGTCGTTCTCTGTTCTGTCAGATAACTAATATTCCCTAAAACATGAAGAACAGAGGAAATTCGGGTTATCTATTTAGTTTTACTGTCTATCTCATTTGATTTTATCATTTGGTACACCTTTGTTGTATCAGCTTGTTCTGAAAAAGGAAAAGAGTAAGTCTTTTAAAATGAAAATAAGCATGCATGATTGGCAATTTTTTTTCTTCTGATAATAATATTAAAAACAAAATTTTTGCCTTGACTTTGATCTTTTAATGAAATGGTCAACTGTAATGTAATTGACTTCTTCACTTAGGGACATTGTATTTCTTTAATCTGTGAAAAATTCATTAATATGATAAACATGAGAAGAATCCCTCCTTAAAATATTATTCTCGTTTCCGTTTCTGAATTTGCACAGTGAATTTTTCATTGAATGGAATATCATTACAGGTATCACATCTGCATGTAGTAATTCGAGTCTGATTGATGAATTACTAGTGTTTGTTACTTTTGGTGCTCCATGTTACAAGATAGTCAACAGGACATACCCCAAGGAACCATTGTGACCGTAATTTTTATAGCTGTTACTTTAATATATAATTATGTACCATCAGACTAATAATGTTGATATGAAGCATTAAGTGTATATCGAAAAGAGAAGTGTTTCAACCTTTTCTTTTTTATTCTTTTTTTCCAAATGGTACTTCATTATATCGAATTGTTAATTACGCAGTAATGACAACACCTATATTGTGTGGTTTCTAACATAAATAATATAACAAACTCTACCTGTCTTGTAAAAGATAAATTTTACCTGGTTAACAGGTTCTTACCTCTAGTTCCTTTAGGATGGAGGAAAGAAGCCACTCTATGTAAGTTCAAAGTCTCTATTTTACATATTTTATATATAATTGACTACTGATTCAATTCATTTGCGACTGAACCATGGACTATCATATAACATTTAATTATATCAAAGTATAGTGCGAATAGTTATGTTTGCAATTTTCTTGGTTTGAAGATGCCAATGGAATCATCTTCACCAAGTTATAAACAGTCCGTACGATTTCTACATTTCCGTATACGGATTTCAAGAACGATTATGGAAAGTTGCCATATATGCAGTTACTATTCATCAAAGAACACATTTTTAAAGCATTTGAAGCATTTAAGTAAATTATTTAAAAATCAACTTGTACCATTTTATGTTTCTAAACAAATAACCATTGCCATTAATCGACATTTATTTATAAAACATTAGCACAGCTTACTAAGATATATTCACAAACTCATTGCGTTACCAATTTATTTACATTTATTTCCATGTCCATTCATGATAAACAATCGCTCGATTTTCTTTTAGACATAGGTATAACTAATTTTTTGTCCAAGTTTCCTCTTCCAGTTAAAAATGCCACAGGTATTTTGTTTTATTCTTCCATTACCATGTTCATGACAAAACAGATAAAATAACATGCTACAATTTTAAAAAGTGGGTGCATTAATTGGTGTTTATTCAATCTACTTATTTTGATTTAAAATAGTGCTGGAAAGAACTTACTAGGGGTTTTAATAAAATCTATTAAACAAAAAAACACCAAAATTTAATGCTTTATGTACTTTACTGAATATAAAATTGATTTGAATATCATTTTTGTAAATACTAAGTTAGAGAAATTTACGTCGATACTGGCACTCAAACGTGTGCTATATGATATATGCTAAGATGACATATGACGTGTGATTTATATACAAATAACTCGCACAAAACAAAAAATAATCCTTAATATTTACATTCGCTGTGTTTTTCTTGTATACTCACGCGTAGAAATATACACGGAGAAACGTGCGTTAACCTGACGTCACAATAAGGCTACAGCGACGTCACAATTAGGCTACAACTACTAGTGAAAGTACAACAATATAGGGCAGCAAGAAATTCAAATATTGAGTATATTTTTGGTGCTTCTAAACACGTAAAATGTAAATATAAGGAATGTTTTTGAGTTTAGTGTGAATTATTGGTGTGTGAATCACACAGACTTGCACATAGGCATATTTTGTATGAAGCACTAGCGCGCTTCATGAAATATGACTACGTGACAAGTCTGTGTGATTCACAAACCAATAACTCACACAAAACTTAAAAACATTCCTTAAATGGTATTTGAATTGCCCATTCTTTGATTTAGAAACATCAACAGAAAAACAAGACATAGAAACAGGAATGTCCGAGATACAACTTTACTGTAAGTTCTTCATTAGTTCTCTGTTTGAGTTGATTTTGAAAAAAGTAACATTAAAACATTTTGAAGTATCAAGTTTTTTTTTAAAAGTACACAGCATTGTTAAGGCTGAAAAGGGGGCAGGGCCTAATTTATAAGGGAAACGTTAAGTATGACGTCACACAAAAAGATGACTTTATGTATTTCTCATAATTCCTGAAATGAAATAATTTACAATATTTAACTGAATTTACATAATAAACAACAATAAAACTTATCAATGCATTTAAAAAAGTTGCTAGTTAAATCCCATGTAGTTCGTAATAAATAAAGCACTGATCGCGATGAACTTGTGCATATGACGTCATTTTGGTAAAAATTACGTATTTCATGTGCTGTGAGAGACAGATAGAGGATTTTTTAACAATGAAAAATGTGTTTTATTATTAAGCAGAATATTATATAAAGTTCTCTATAGTCGATTAATACCAATGCATACAATCTGTTTATGCATTAACTATCAAGAGAATGTATTTTATTAATCTTATTGTGTTTTTATGTACAGATTACGTATATTTTACATCGAGATGCCTCATAAAATCGTACTTTCGCAAAGGGCATGCACTGAGAAGATCTTAACCGTTTTTTGAATATAGATAAAAGGATACTTCCTTAACTTGAAAAGTGCTGCTGCTTTCTTCAAATTGACAGCGTGGTTTTATAAGTAAACAAAATATTTGGTGAAAGTCAAACATATTTCGACATTGGCCTATTTACTTGAAAATTTAGCTATAAAAACGCGAATTGTATTCAAAGCAGCAACACTTTTCAGAAAGTATGCAGAAGCAATTCATAGCTTGAATTTTTAATTTCAATTAGGGCATGCCTTTGCGATATTGAAATTTGTTAATGACCTACATTCAGTACACGAACTATGCATTCATCACGTGACTGTCCATCGATAACACCAAACTTCATACAGTACAGAGTGGCTTATACTATGATATTTCCATAAGTATTCAAGTTTTGTGATAATAAAACAGCTTAATTAAAATAAATTCAGTTTTAAAAAATCCACATCTATTTTCAATTGATTTCTTATAGTAGGCCTTAACAGTGCTGTGTTAAATACATATTAATCAACATTTCATTATGTCTTCATCAAGATCATTAAAACAACTAAAATGGGTTTATCATTTCGGCCTAGACCAGTTAATTCGCTAAAGAAAACAGAATCTTTGATATATTTAGGTATAAAATATTAAAATTTACGTTCTATTCTTTAGTACACTGTTTAAAATGGCACAAAAACTCGTACAAATTTTATTAAAATTCCAAGGTCGCAAAAAATTCAATATTGTTCCTAAACATAGCATGTTTGATAATTCAAGTGATCTTCACTAAAGTCACAACAAACGTGTTCACTAAAACTTAAAATTTTATATTTATCACAATATTGATAACATTTCGATTTGTAACATCCCGTGAATGGTATTTGCTGTATCTTATGTTAATGTTAAACGGTGAATCAAAATCTTACGTTTCTTTTAAGACATATGTGGCATACAGAGAAGGATAAATGAAATTTTTGAATATATAGCAAAAAAAATGGCAATAAATTGCACTGTAAAACAAGAAAGACTGCACAATATAAGTGTAGGAAAAACAAAAGTTGAATTTACCATTTTTGTTCTTAGCTCAGACTTGTAAACAACATTCAACTGGAGCATGCAAGGGTAAAAATATTTCCTAACGAATTTGTAAAAAGATTGCAACAAACGTTTCGATCTACTGGTCTACTTACATTCATTCCTTGGGTACTTTAGACCATGGTTACTACGGTAGCTTATTTATCTTTTCTAAGCACGCGAGGAAGAAATAAAAAAGTAAAGAAATACTTTTGTTATGGAGCATATTGAAATTATTTTTACTTTTAATTTTCTCCATTTTTAGGGTTCTGAAGCCTATAATTTTCTGATACCTATTCTTTTAGGAATTGAACAAATTTTTTTCGGGTGATGCAAACTCTGCAAAAAATTGTCAATTTTCCCCTGCCTCACGGTGTCTCTTTAAACAAGCGGGGTTTCTGTTATTCCGAATTTCAAGCTGGGAGATAAAAAAAATTCTGTAACAGGGACAGAAGAAAATGTATGACTGAACCGACCACCTTTGCAGAGCTAAATGTTCTTTTTTGTATGATGAGGCTAATAGCCGTAATTAGAGGGTGCTTAAAAACAAACCCGGAAAAATCTCTCAAGACCAAACATTCACACAAAATACTGATAAATAATAGTAACGCATTCCTGTAGGCATTTATAGCACGTAAATTCATTAATATACATAAAAACACATAATTTACATGAGAACGCTGAGTTTTGTTAAAATTTGTTCAAAGAAAGGCGTATATATAGAGCACATTCGTCTAATGCAGAATAAACTTTAAACAGTGTAATAATAGTAATAAAGTGATGAAAGTCAAGTATGTCAACAATTGTAAATCGTATATATATATACATATTTTTTCTTTCTTTTTCAGTTGTTGTTTGATTTACATTTGTCATTCTTTTCTCTGTCAGTTTGACTGTAACGATTTTTAGAATAAGGTGTGTAGAAATACGGGTTTATCTAATATTTCAATAAAAATTGAATTAAAAAATAAACTGAGAAATTACATAATGAATAAATTGAACGTAATATAGTTCGTTTGTTGCGCAAATGAGAACGTTATTATACCGAAATTATATAGTTTAGTCTACGAAATGCAATTATGAAAACTTAGTTATTTTAACTGTATATTAAAATTTAAATATTACGAGGGTTGTCCAAAAAGTTCGTGGACAATGAGTTTTTCGGCAAAATAAATTGTTCTATACAAATCTATTGTATATCAAAATATTTCTTATGAAAAAACAAATCAGAATGATTTAATTTTTATTTAGGAAACTTTAATATATTTTTTTTTAAATCAGGGTCTTTAAAGATCGCAGATTGTGCGCACGGACCAGTCTGACGTTAAGCTAATTTCATTATAACGTCAAACATTTGGATTTTGAATTAAAACATGTTCATGGACACACACTTCATTTCTTTTTTTTGCTAGCAATAATCTTTAAGTATAGATTATAATTTATTTAATTTTTAAAATTTAAAACAATGCACAAAAATTTACGAGCGTCACCTAAATAAAGAGTTTGTATACACAAACTGCACAGCCCAGTCCGACGCTGCGCTAGATTTATAACAACGTCATGAATAGAAATCTCCATTTCAGTAACTTACATGTGTTTTTAAATTCCTGTAATGTCTTCAAATTTGTACACACCGTTGAAAAATTGTATATACCAATGTGAAATTGATACACTTAATATATTTCAATAATTTTGAGTTGTTTTAACAAATATTTTGTCTCTTACATTGTTTCAACCGTATAAAAACTATTTTTTTTTTATCGGACGCTGCCCCGTGCAGACAGCCGACGTCGCTTTTTTTGCCGAGTTTTGACACATATTTGTTAGGGTTTTTGTTTAATATTTGCACTATCTATTTATAGTAAGTGATACTTAAAATATCATAAAATGGTTATAGCTTCTTTATTTGTGTTATACATAATTTTTTTTTAATTAATTGACTTGTCTTATATAGAAAATAATCATTTTTAATCCGAACACTTTATATCAGAGTTTATGTCATTATAACCTTGGTCCGTGCGCACTATCCACGACCTTTAAAGACCCCGATTTTTACAAAAATATTACTTTCCATCAATAAAAATTAAATCATTCTGATTTTTTTTTCATAAGAAATATTTTGATATGCAAAAGATTTATATAGAACCATTTATTTTCACAAAAACGTCATTGTCCGCGAACTTTTTGGACAACCCTCGTAAATGCAGTGTTCGGTATTATTGTTTCCCAGTTCATAACACTGCTTTTATGTCTTGATTGTTGAATTTGACCTGTCATTTATGCAATATGCTCCAATCTCATTCAGAGTTATTCTACTGAGAAAAAGAAGAAGAGAAATAATGCGCCTCCCTACAGTTCCAACTTCAGATGATCCTCCGCACGAATTCGTCGAAATACACTCAGATAACCCCTACCTTGATCTCGATCACGACATTTTATATGAGGAAGATGAAGGTTATGAATTAAATGAAGAACCCAGCACTCAGAATCGCCCAGATTACGATAGTGAAGGGCTATACACGACCCCTAATAACGTAGAAGGCGCCTATTTAGATGTTGTGCATGAAAACATTAAATTTGATTTTGAAAGCAGTAGCCCTGAAAACGTCAGAGCCAATTATAATTTAGAGGAGAATACTATTGATTAGATTCCCGTTTGAGATTTGTTCCGAACAGACGTTATAAAGAGAACAACTTGAAATAATAACCACAACTGATGAAGAAGAAATAAGACTACCCACACGTATGACTATAATGCGAATTTTTACTCTGGATAAATTTGATATCATTTTGATAATGAAATATTGTTTTCTTTTCAACTAGACTTAGAACTGTTTCGTAAATATCAATTGTAATAGTTTGGCAGATCAATTTCAATTAAATAATATTAGTGTATATGTAACATATGGAGATAACGAACAGTATTCCAGATCAAAATCCATAAAACAGTGCAAAATAGGAACAGAGCAAAGACGGACCTCCAAAACATTAGAGATAGGATCTGTACTCATAAACGAGTGAGCACCCCCTGTCGAAGGGTCAAATTCGCCGTTCGCTTGTTTTCATGATCGGGGGAAATAAAAGAAGAATCCTCGTCAATTCAGTGTATAAATGGATTAAATAAGAGTTCTATCTATTCAGCTGTATTATTCAATGACCAAGGTCTGCAAGTTATAGGAAACTATAATTATAACAATAATAACTAACTACTGATACACTATAATAAATTGTATCATTATCCTTTATAAATAATGGAAGTATGAAGTAGAGTTTTCAAGGAACGCATGTGTCGCCTGCTTTTAGTTTCCTGAAAGGTGAAACTAAATATTAGAGTGGTCAGTTATTAATTTGCTACTAGCATATACAGTAACCCATGCCAAAAAATAGCATGAGAGTTCATAAATCCACAAAAACGACATCCACACATAGTATAAAACTGCAATCTAGTTCGTCAATCAAAAAAATATGATTCACAACCCCTAAATGAATAATTAAGTTGAATTCATTATGAATAATTATTTATCATTTTACAAAGGTGTTAAATATACGTGTATTAAAGTCTTAACACCAAATTGTCACTCTACACGATCCGCTGTGGGATCCCGATCGCGAAGTATTTTCAGAATATTTAAATATCAATATGTGTGGTTACTGAATATCATCCAGTTTCAAAGAACAGTATAATAAGCTCATAAACATGTATAAATGTTAATTTTCAACACCCGCCACTCAAAATTCAAAAATCTTAAATTAAATTGTCCAAAGTATTCTTAAAGTAGTTCAAAGGTCAAGGTCAGGTAAATTGCAACGCGTGTACTTTTTCTAAATGTTTTATGACAATCAGTGTACATGCTCAATAGCATAGATTTACCCCTTAACTGTCAAGCAAACTGTATATAAGCATTTTTTTTTATTTGTAGTCAAGTAGATCAAAGGATAAGGTCAAGGATCATGAGGTCTGTAACCATGACAATTTACAAATATAATAGTGTTAAACAATAAATGTGCAAAATATCGAGTCCATATCTCTTTCAGTTCGTTAGATACAGGGTGTGACAGAAGGACAGACGGACAGACAGACAGACGTCGGGTAGAGTGAACCCTTTGTTTCACTCAACCGGCTACACAAAAACATCAGTCAGCATTTGATTCAATGATGAAACATATGTAGATAACAAACATTATTTAAAATCACAAGTTCATCGTTTTTTTATTTCAATTTCCTCTTAAGGCTTTTGAATATTATGCAATTTTTCTTGTTTTATGTCATTGACAGAATACAATAAACAATATAGCATTACTTGGATAAGGTGTTTGAATGTCGTAAAGTATTCTACATGTATTTCTGATACGATGAATTTCTTGACCTGGTATAGGGCGTTTTACGAAATTAGATTATATGTACAAGAAGAAAAGAAGACAAAATATGTCATGATGTTTTGTTATTTCCTCAGTGGAGTTCTTTGGTATTCAATAACAGGTAAACAATATTTACAATTTTTTTTTCAATTACAGTAACTCTATTAATTAAGCACTTTAACTATCCCCTTCATTTAAACATAGATACAAACAGGTTCAAAGCAAAGAAATGTTAATCAAAAATATGCAATGATTTTATAGAGAGATAATTGTCTCTATGATGGTTTTTGCTTTTTTAATGATAATCAAAATTATAATGTCTATATATCAACAACTTTCAATTTTTTTATAGTATTTTACGTTGGCTCTTTGCTACAAAAATCACTCTCTTAAAAACATATTTGTATTACATATGAAATCTTTTAATTTGACAACATTTTTCAAGCAATGTAGAAATTCAAAACAATTCATTTACAATGTGAGAGATTGATGGGGTTTTTTTGTTTCAAAACGTGTATGGAATAAGATGGTGATAGTACAGAGCATATGTTTTTTCTTAGGTTACCTAGAATATGTAGTTAGATAGTAAATTTAATTGTGTTATGCTATTTTCTTAACTTTTAGACAGATATTATATAACAAAGGTACAAAACAATCCATATTTATCATAGGAACCATTACAAACGATCAAATAAAATCAACAATGATGAGTTTTGTTATATACATTTACGAAAAGACTCAATTAAAAATAATTTTAAATTTGGTGCTGAGATGATATAGGTTATTAATTGAAAGTAGGATTTTGACGTTTGGGGCAATTTCAATTCAGTTAAGTCGTATATACTTTATTCTGAATTTAACTGTTTGAAATTTAGAATGTTTTTATCAGTCATTAAAAACACAAAAATGCACATTTTTGTTAAAGATATATTATTGGTAAACATATTTGCCTCAAGAACAAACTTCAGTTACTTCGGAAAAGAAGCATTAATTTGCTAAATTATGTTTAGCTGACATAACTGAGGTCTATAAAGCAAAGTTCTGCATTTCTAGTTATGGCATTATACAGAAAATATTTACATTTACTTTACTATATTTCAAACACTTCTGATATGTTTTAGAAGTATGAAGTTAACATTGCATAACTTTTTCCGACTTGTTTTATAATATTCCACATCGTATAAGGACACGTGGAAGTAATAAGCTTTTTTTGTCTTTTAATCATACAAAGGTTTCACTGTACCAACTGACTGTCGATTGCCAGGAGTTTTATATCAAGGAACGAAAAACGTAACAGAAACTGGTAGACCGTGTCAAAGATGGGATACACAAAGCCCGCACGAACACAATTATGATATATTTAATCTGGCACAAGAGAACTACTGTAGAAATTTCGACAGAGAGGAGCCATGGTGTTTTACCAATGATTCAAACGTTCGCTGGGAACTTTGTGGCGTAGATGTTTGTGGTCAGTACCCAAAATACATATAAGCCAACTATTAAATAGATACAATTTAACAAATGAAAAAAGCAATACTTATTAGGCTGCCTTTCAAAAATCACGTATATGTAATGAAAGCCGTACCTGGTAATCTTTGTTATTGGAATGTATCTTAGTTAAACAAAATAACAAATAATCGTTTATGAGAGCATAAATGGGATACGTCATGTTATATGATGGTTAATCCAAAAGTAATGTCATAAGTGCTATTTAATCTTTAAGAATCGATATCAATCAGCGAACTACTTCTATCTACATTGATTTTCGCCAAAACATTTCCTACAGATATACGAGGGTCGTTAGAAAAGTTGGAGGACACATTGAATTACGGAAAATCTATTGAGTACTATGAAGTATGACCTATGTCTGAATAAATTCCTACATTTTGTTTATTTGTATGTCAAAAATCAGGTCCATATAATAAAATCTTGAAAATTTACAACGATTTTTACTGTGAGGTTATAGGATTCACGGAGCAATCACTTGACGTAAGGCGACGTAACAACCAGATTTCAACCCGTTAACCTTTGTCGCAGTTCTATAAATCTTTAGATTTTTCTGATCTTTTTTCTACTTTAAAATTGAATATCTATATATCAAGAAATGTTACTTTTCTTCGACTATGTCTTTTGTACTGATTCGGATATTATTGAGATCTTAAAAAAGGTTTATGCAGTTAATCGATCAGGTATGGAAACTATGCATTACCATATAGGCGCAACGCAACGTCCATGCGATACGGGGGTACTGAAGTATCGCTGGAGTTAATCTTTCAAAATGTCAATCCTTCCATTCTTGTGAAGCTACAACCATTTGAAAACTTCTCCTTTGTAGGTGTAGGAAATTCCCGGCAGCATCTTGAATATTTTAATCTCTTTTTTGACATTTTCCAGTCTGCATGCATAATTTTTACGTACTTGCAGTGCTCCATGACCAACAATGACGTTCCGATTTTTGGCTGTGTTTTAACGCATTGATCATTGATAAACGGCTATAAAACAGTCAGATACCCTCCAATTTAGTTCAAAATTTCTCCCAGTGATGTTTTATGAATACCTTAGCGGCAGGTAAAATATCATAAACCTCTTTGCGTTACAATTGTGCAATTTTTAATTTTAATAGTGAGTCTCTGTGATGTAAACGTGCCAAAATGTAGCATGCTCCTTGAAGCAAGTTTTATCAAAAAATAAAATCTGTATAATTTTTAATAATCACCGGCGAGAAAAAATTTCTTGTATATTTATTGGAAAAAATGTAAAGATTCTATCTGGAAAGTTTGACCGGTTTCGTGGAAGTAGCACGCTCACAATTGAACTTGTCCGCGAACTTTTCTAACACCCCTCGTATGTAATACTTTTTTTGCAAATAGTAAAATAAACACAACTTATTCTCTTCTATCACTGTATAGAAAGATATACCGACGTCATTATGACTTTTATTCTCTGCACACATTTTCAGTTTATCGAAAAATCTTTTAAATCTCTATGGTAGTAAAAAGGATTGAAAAGAAACATGTACGAGTTTTAAAAAAGTCCGCACATGAACTGAAAATGAGTACCGAAAAGGTATATAGCAGTTACATTCTTGCTGTGTCGCGATAGATAAAACATAATGCAGTGATTATTTGAATGTTTTTAGGTGATAATCATTATACAATGAAATTTGAAGACATAAAATTAAAAAAAAAGATAGAGGTATTAGTATTTAAATCTTGGTTGATAAAATTAGATTATTAACAAGATAAGTTTGTAAAAAAAAAAAAAAAAAAAAAAAGAAGAAAAGATAAAGAAAAAACTGATGACTCCATTTCAGCAGCTTATGGAGAAGGTTGAAGTTTCTCAAATGCAAGTCAGGTTCAAGGTCAAAAGATCAAACTTGTCATTATCAATTCAATAATTTGGTTATAACGAATTCAAACAAATCTGTAATAACAGATTAAATTCGTTATAACGAATTCAACAAATATGTAATAACAGATTAAATTCGTTATATTGAATTAAATGAATCTGTTATAACAAATCAAATTCATTAGAACGAATTCAATAAATCTGTTATAAAAAAAATTAAATTCATTATTAACAATTCAATAAATCTGTAATAACAAATTAAATTCGTTATAACGAATTCTAAAAATCTGTTATAACAAATTAAATTCGTTATAACGAATTCTAAAAACATTATAACGAATTCTAAAAATCGTTATAACGAATTCAAAAATCTTTTTTGATAGGTCCTAAATGGGCTTCCGTAGCTTCTGAACAATTACGATAGTGAATTGTTTTATTTTTTATCTATATAAGTCCTTCTTAGAACTTTGATATGTTATTTACACGAAACAGAAATTGAACACGAGTAGTAAATGCTGGTCATCTTTAAAAAATGATATATTCCACCAATCTTCGTTATCACAATATAGGCAGTTTGTTTAAATAAGAAATATACCAATTTTAAAATACATGGACATGTGATCACATGCTTTCGAAGTAATTTTGTACAGTATTAATTGAAGATTTTTGCTCATACCAACGACTTTTCAAATGTTATTGTCATTGATTGTTATTTAGATTCAGGTCTGATATCCCCATGTCGAGATCCAAATCTTATCAACAATTCTTTGAGAATGATGAACGTAGGAGTGCCTTGTTTTTACAAGTCAGTCAAAAGATCTAAGACTGTATCATGTCGGTTTGTATCTCTGTGTAATAGTATTTATTTTGAAAACGTTCAATTCTAATTGATTCACAAATATGTATGATTGAAAGAAGAGGGGCTTGATGATAAATAAATTACAATGTTTGAAGTCAATGGATTCGAATGGCTAACAAATGTTCTCAATTATACAATATTACAAATAAATTAAATAAGGCTTTGAATTAACAGAAAAATTCATAACATCATTCATCAAATGAAATAAATGGTCTTACCATGCATATTTTTCAAACAGTTTCAAACCTAATTGGTTATACAGTAATTATAACAAAATTTAATTAGGTGAACATCCGTTGCCTAGAGGTAATAGAGTCGTATTTAGATTTAATTGGATAGGGCTATATACGTTAACAATATGTGAGGCTGTTCTTCTTTTTAGCATTCATGTTGATATTTTTCTCTTTTTATCTGTTTCTGTCACAATATGATTTTACAGACCAAAGTGAATAAGTGTGAGTAACAAGGAGAGTGAATGTTGTGTAAAAAAAAAAACATACGATAATAATGTATTGGGATGAAAAAAAATTAAATGGAAAAAAATGAATTGTTCTCATACTTTTTAACATCAAGGAGCTAAAAGGTTATACGTTATCTTATTTTTTTTTCATCTAATTCAATGTTCTGAATTAATTACAGACTAAAGATTAACACAATTCCTCACATAATTGTTTTGTTTTGTCAAATAAGAGGTTCCTCAAAATATGGTATGATTTGAGAAATTTTGTTTACACTTTAACTAGAGCAAGTTGAATAATTTTCAAAATATTCATAAATTTTTATACATGTAGAAATATTCAGAGGGCAGCCCATTGTGTAATATCGAGGCTTAATGATGAAACAAACAACACATGTGACGTCAAGGATAAAATTTACCTGGCCAAAAAATTTTTAGCTATCTTTCCTGAACAAAGTAGGGTCAATGCCAGTATATGTAAGAATTCAATATTTATTGATTTGTTTTCTTTTTCAATTTCTATAATTGAAAGTAAAAGGTAATCAATATATCGGATACTGAGTAGACATGTAGAAGTAGTATACGGTTACTGTATATACTAAGGCAAGATCATGGTTAATTCTACGGGCATATACTTTTGTAGGCATCAAAGAATTCTTATCTGAGTTTCCTGCAACGATTGACAATACAACAGGTACATGTATTTCTTAAAATATACGATACATATAAGATATATGTATGATTTTTCTTTTGCATCAATTTCTTGCTTTTTATGTTCACAATGTATTTATTCATTATAGTATTAAATATTGGTGTCTAATATTCAAGGATTTTTTTCTTAAACTTTTTGATACAGCACTTCAACAAATTTTTATTCTCTCAAGATTGTAGATTTTTTTAGAATGAAAAATCTTTGCATTTCTGTTCAAGGCTTAAGAAAATTAGTGTATTGTTTTTTTTATAGATACTATCACTCTTTTAAGAGATAAAGAAGCATCTACTTACTCTCAGACGCATGTTTTTCGTAAGTTGAACATCAAGATTCTTTCAGTGGTTCCTTTTGAAAAGAAAGCTATTGAAAATGGATGTGTTTTCACACTTTTACGTTTGAAGTGTAAAATGACATACAAAGATTTTTTTCATAATGAAAAAAAAAACATAATCAAAGGAAAAAAATGTTAAAATTATATCTTCCGTTTTCACAATATACATAGATCAAATCTAACAATATCAATTTACAAGGGCACAAGTACGATGGGTGATCAAAAAGTTCGCAAACAAATTGAACAACTTCCATAAAACAAAAAAATCAGGTTTCCGTATTTGTTATTTTTTAAAGCATAGCCCTCTATGGTTCTATTGCACATCTGCTGCCGTTCTGCACATGCACGAATCACATAGTCATGTGATATGCTTCGAAGCAGTCTGTTCATAGACGCTAAAATATTTATTTCGAGTCTTATGTTTTTTACCATGCAAGTTAATTTTTTTCACAAGAAAAGTTCATTTGTCAGAAATGACCATATCTCGGAAATGGGATAGGTGTATAAGGATATCATTTCCCAGGAAAAAAATATTGACCATCACAACCCGAGTGTCTTAGGAACGTCGTTTATCCAATATGGATAGAGTTGTAGGGGCCTACTTTTTATCATATTTAGTATGTTAAAAGTCTAAATTGAACGATGTTTTAGGGATTTCATAATAACATTATTAAGATATTTAACGATTTTTTAAATGTAACTTCGCAATCTTTCATAATTGCAAAGGAATTTCCAAATTATAAGTTATACTTTATAGCTGTTTGTTTATCGAGTAAGACTGTGTCATTTTTCGTCACCTATATATTGTCGTCATTTTCTCATTGTGACGTCACACTGATGAAAAAATCATTACTTTTTATATGCTATATATAGAACATGTGCATGATCATATGGTTGTCAAATTTCATTCATGGTTTTTTAGGTATAGAGATAGTTCGCAAACATTTTGACCACCTCTCGTATATAATTAAATTTGAAATTATAATACGTTTTTTCTCTTTTTTCATAGCAAATACAAAAAGCATTTTTTTTATTCTGAAGAAATCTAGAATGGAAGTATTTTTTTGTATGATCGACTACAGTATATTTTATATGTCATACCTGAACATTTATCATATATTTCAGTTGCTATCGGATTTACATTAGTGATGGTATTTGTTGCCAGCGTAATAATTTGTATATTCGGAATAAGGTGGGTTTCCTTATGTTTTCCATTTAAAACGTTTTTCATTTAAGATAAGATTTAGATTAACTCTCAGAGTTTTACTCTAATTTTTCAGCGCGTTGTCTTTAGAATATATTTTTAGGAAGAAAATTTACCTTATAAATAGTTATAAGGTAAAAACTAGTTATCATATGACGATATATTTTAGTTCAGAGGCAATGTAACTTAGCAAAAAGGTCACGACATGTTAAGCATATCATGCAAAAACTGATGATTAAGTAGAATATTCGTTACGAAGAAAACGCAAAACTAAATAAGAAATGTTTAGCTTTTTGGTGCAAAAAATATTCCTCAAATTTAGGTAGGGTCTGTCCGTGCTTCTGAAAAATTGACTGTATGTTTTGTTTTTCATATTCGAGAACTTATTTTCTCATACAGACATCACACGCTATAAGTGAAGTGCCACAAATTATTGACATACTGTAAACGAACTTTTATTCGCAATGACCTTATTTCGCGATTTACCAATAAATAATGCCCTGAACTGTATGACACACAATGCAGATATCACATGACAATAAGCTTGACCTTTTCGCAATTTTGAATCTTGAATGAATTTATAACAATTTATGTGGCGACTTTTCATCTCATAGCTTCATTGTGAGATGCTGGAAAACAAGGGCTATTCGAAACACTGCCTTAAAAATGAATGGTAAAGAATCGGTAAACTTGAGTGAAAAATAAAACTTCATTAAAGCTGCTGTAAAACTCCTTAAAAATACGAAAGAAATATTCACTGAAATATGTAAATATGTATGGCAAACAATGTATGTTTTACAGACAAATGATCAGGTTGGTTTCATTGATAAAGAAAATTATATAATGGGCATCAAAAATGAGTAGCGTCCTTGCCAAACAAAAACTATGACAACTAATGTACTGTTTGCCAAATTTCAACATATAATCAGTGATGTTGTATGATTGACATTCAAAACACATAGCAAATTTGATAGACATCTTATCCGGAGTAGTTTGCACAGTTTTATACAAACGGTTGATAGTAAAAAAGCTTAGTAATCAAAGGTCACTCTATGTTCTGAAAAATGAGTGTAAACGACGTTTTAAGAATATCTAAACAACTATTTTGAAATATCAGTGAATTTAATGTTCCATGTTAGTTTGAAATTCAAACAGATAATGAACTTGAATCTATTGCTACAAACCCTCGATACAAAATTTACAATAAGATATACTTGACAGAACCAGCAAAGGTCTGAGAAGAGCAAAGGACTGCAATAGCACGAAGACAGATTTATATTCAATTTTTTTAACTGTTAGTGGTCTTGTTGTTCGTATTCGAAAGGTTAATGAGAGGAAGGAACCAGAATCAGAATCAGGTATCCACTACATTAGAGTTTTTCATGACAACGTCTAGCTGCAGATCTGTAGCTATCCAAAAAAATATATATTGATAGACCGGATAGCTACAGTGCCACCCATTGAAAAAACTGTATATTTATTGCGCACAAAAAAGTGCGCTCGGTTTTCGATTTATTTATCCATGTTCCTAAAACTGTAATCTCAAAATATTACTAACCGTGTGTTCCTAACATATTCTTTGACTCTTTCCACAACAAAACATTCGCCATAATTGTTTTTAATAGTCCTCCTGATATTGTAATCATCGAACATTTCCATTATATATACTGCTATTTTGGCTTCAAAGATAATTCTGTCCATTATGCTTCGTTCAGATGACATCTACGAATGTACTTGATAAAGGAGAGAGAAACTATTTTAAATCTTCCCTCTTTTGCAATTGAGGTAAGAATTTGGAAGAAATAATCAAGAACCGAGCGCACTTTTTTGTGCGCAATAAGTTTTTTCAACGGGTGGCACTGTAGCTATCCGGTCTATCAATATATATTTTTTCGGATAGCTACAGATCTGCAGCTAGACAACGTCCAAACCCTACGCTCTGAAGAGTAAAGGAGTTTTTGGGATAAACAGAAAGTTGTTTTTTTTCACATTAACAATATTCGCCTTTTGACTTGTTTAATTTTCCAAACTTGAAAAATACAACTTTCAGAAGAATGAAACGAGTTCAGGAAATCATAAGATCTGCCATTGTCCTGAATACTAAAGTTCATACCCAAAGATGAGTTTTATAACAAACAGAAATTGGATTAAAAAAAATTACGGACATGTGTTTTAATTAAAAGCAAATATTAAGTTAAATCATTAAGATTATATCATTAAAAAGCGTCTTTTGCTTCCTTCCAAGCACTGAGGACATTATTTATTGAACAGCCCTCGTACATGTCGCAAACGATCATAGCAGTGATGTTTCATGTCCATGTCAACGCATACCTTTTTAACCGGACTTTTAAATAGTATCGCCCAAAAGACTGTTGACTTTCACTTTTAATGTCAATGGCATGCACGTTGCAAAAAAAGTTTCGACATATGATAATCATCTTAGTTTTTACATGGAACCGGAAACAAGATTTCAGCCCTGACCCCCCCCCCCCCCCCCCTCGGCCCAATCACAAAGCAAGCGCCCAACCACTAGCATACAGTCACAGGTACCTGTGTTTCAAGCTATCAAGATATTCTATCCATATGTTCTTATAGCACTATCTTACACAACAGGAAAATACTTTATGCCCATTTAAAATGACCGGGTTTGATCAAGGGTCATATAATACCAACTTTTGTTATCTTGTGACAAAAATATCCATAGAAAATAAACAAAATAAGTTGGTCGCATTTATTCAAAATCATTGCAATTCTTTCTCTCATTACAAGGATATCTACAGAAAAAAGCCAATTCTTGACCGTATTTATTTCTTCTTTCACTTTAACAATATTGAAATATTTCAATTTGAAAACTAATAAACACATTTAGATAACATAGTTACATCAATACTTTTAGAATTATAAGAAGAAAAAAAACTATCTATTTTGTTGCTTTATTTGTCATTATTTCAATAACAAGTACTGAAGAGATATACACGTCTAATTGCATAAGATAACGATTTAACAATACAGTAAAATAGACATTAATTTGTCCCCCAGAATTGACTGAGAGCAAAGTTAGTATTCTTTTTATTTATATAAATTCAAGAAAGCATAGGTATAAAGAGGTATAAAGTTGCTTCCATTTTTTTTTTCAGAAAAACTCTCATGAGAAAAAAGAGAAAAGAATTAATGCCTCTACCTGTGATCCAAAACGCAGAGGACCCCTCATACGAAATCGACTTAGCGTATCCAGATGGTCTGTATCATGATCCTGATTACGAAAGCATTGACGATCAAGAAGAAGGCTATGAACGTTTGCCTGGAGAGATAGAAGAGATGAGAAGCCAAAATCTTGTAGACAACGATGTTGGTGGAGAATACACCGCTCCTAACAATGCTGATGGAACTTATTTAGATGTAGTTCATCCAAAAATATATTCACATGATTACACTAATGTTAACCCTTATCTTGAATTAGTAGAAAAAACCGTTGAATGCCAAACTGTATTAGACACCAAAGATATCCCCAAGTAAAATCTAGCCGTACATGAGCGATGAGGTGGGATCGTATTATAGACAATTTAAGAATGTGTCATTCTAACATTCATTTACATACATGCTGAATTTTATTTTTAAAAAATGTATATTGTGCGCGAACATAATCTTTAATCATCTAAAATACAAACATAGCAAAGCTGCAAAACATACTTGAGCAATATTGTTGAAGGTCTAAATGCATGCTATTTACATTAATTTTTAAAACTGGTAGGTCTATAAATAACATCTCTTGCTTAGTCATGTTAAGCATTTTCAAAATAAATAATCAAGAGGCTGAAATCAGATCTAAAACATTTCTCATAACACAGTTCTCGTGTCCTTTGAGACATAAGATAGTTGATAATTATGTGTTCATACATCCCAGTAATCTGGGTTAAAAGTCATATGCAAAGTGAAAGGAAAACACGGGTTGAATAATAGAAATTTAGATTTTTATATATTTTCATACGACAGTAGATTTATCGTAAATAAAATTGATGTGTTTTTTTAATATTTTAATATATACCTTGTTTTACAATGAATGGATGAAAATAACTTGAATTTCACAACTTTTTTCTCTTTACAATAGATTATTTATATCTAAATTGGTTGAAATTGGTTCAGTGGTTTCAGAGAAGAAGCTAAAATGTTCAAATGTTATAGCACTACTAACGACACACGACGATGGCCAAAAAACAGGTAGCAATATGTTCCTAAATGACTTATTTGACCAAAAAATCAAATTCCAATCAACCAGTATTGTTTTCGTAAACCACAAATATAAGACCTCACGAATATATTTGATTTCACACTATGTACTTTGAATACCTTTGGACTGCAAATAAGGTAGGATACTCGTACTCAAAATACAAGACATTCTTGCGTCGGATGTATCATTTTAGATTCGATACACACTTCAGCATTACTCTTTAACATTTTAATTTATTTTGTTGACATGCTGAAGTGCACTACAAAATCCATTGATATTTCCTTAATCAATTCCCCAAAGCTGGAAACGATCCTTAATCTTTATTTCAAATCTTGGTTCATAAACTTCTTGGATTTGCATTTTGCATTCATCTATCATCGGTGGTGCTCATGGAATTGAATCGTGTCACGTTTATGATACATTGCTCCGGGTCCATCACAGTCACCTGATTATGATTTTTGTTGTTTAAATGCACATAATTGTTGACTACGCAAGTGAGTTAAGGCTGCGTATGGAGGTTTCTATGCAAAATAATAAATTAAGACCCATAATTGCTACACATACCGCAAAGAAAATGTTAAGACTTGATTTCTAATACATTGTTGGTACCCACGATATGCGATTGCCAGTACACATTATGACGTCATCAGCCTTTACTGCACAAGTTTATAAGAAACATCAACAAAATCGCTTCGGCGCAAGGGCATACCTTACTTTATTTTACAGAAACAAGGTATAAAGTAAAGCAGAATATTCCATAGATTTAAGATATTGCTGCAAAAATGTCGACACTGCAATTGTTTGGTTACTATTCGTACAGTTCTAAGTTGAAACAGGGTAAAAATGTACAGTCCAGTGTAAGTTTAGTAAAATTTTTATCAATTGAAGAGGAGTATAGGATTTGTGCAGCAATTTTATTAATTTTCAGAATATTTTCCTTAATATTATACTTTATTTATTTTAAATGAAATAGAATATGCCCTTGCGCCGACGTTGTTTTGTTGTTGTGTTTTATAACCTTGAATGGGAAAGAACTATGACGTCATAATGTGCACATTAATATACTGTGGGTACTAAGTACGAAGAAAATCAATTTGAACTTGCTCTGTAAATAAAATACACAATTCATGCATTTTTATAACCTCATTTGCATAGAAAAACCCACATTAAGCCTTAACTCACTTGCGTAAAATAATTAGTTAATCTGTAACATGTATATTCATTAAAAGATAAGTATACTTCCGGTTTTTTGTCTAATAATGCAATTGAAAGAACTAAATGCGGTATATTGCATATATTTGACCCCACAAAAGTCAAATTTTGAAAAATTCTGGAAATGTGCTGAATTCCGTAAATTGTATTTAAAAAATGAATTAACAGAACATATTATAGTTTCAAAGTAGTTTATTGATTATTTTTGTTTTTATGACGTCACAAACTCGTCCGATTTTATATCATTTGTTAGAAAAAGGACAAAATGGACGAAATTTCAACAATTTTAGCTATAGAATTTATAGAGCGCAAGTTTGTTCAGGAACGATATTTATATATTTCATTGATATTATCATTCTACACATTATATCAAAATATTGAGCCTGAACACACATGCGCTCGGTGATTTTTTTCTCAAAATATTGACGTAAAATATCTATTTTTTGTAGAAATCATGGAAATTTTAAATTTACGTCATTTTCGTGACGTCATTTCAAACATATGACGTCATTGATGATGAAAATATTCAGTGCTTTGAAGCCAGCATTTATCCCTCTGTCTTAGAACATAATTAAAAATTTCTCCGTCAAAGTTTGATTTGGGGGGCAAAAATTGGTTATTACCGAATAAAGTTCTTTTGTTTCTGTTCCTTTCAGTAAAACCGACTTAAGTTTGAAATTAATAAATCTTATTTGAAGAATTGGTTTAGTAAATACATTTTTACGTAATGAAACATATGCGCAGGTAGGTTAAGGTTACAACCAAATATTCTACTTGCCTATATGATATGACGTCATAGTAAGCTATATGACGTGAAGTTAAGAGATAGCAATTTCTTATATAATCTATATCTAAGATTGATTTGAGGTCGTAAAAATTAATCAAAATATGCAGAGGCATAGTACAAACAGAATTTTGTCGTTCCTGGGTCTCTGTAGTTATCACAGGGGTCAAATACCAAACCCGTGACGTCATAACTGTTGATCATGCAGTAGCAGAGTGAAAGTGAAACGTAACGAGAATTCATGTAAACAAACGCAAGAAATCGGAGTTTAAAAGCATTTAGAATGAATATCATGTGTGATTCATGTGGAAATAAAGCTTATGAATTAGGTATGGTAATGTACAGGGTGTTTCACAATATATGTCACACATCTAAATGGAAATAATCTGAATATTGAGCATGATATCAAAAATACCAAAACATTATTGGGAAGCATGTTGATCTAAAATTATGATATTGCAAAGTATTGGGGAAATTATAATATACCATGAAGTAACTGATGATATATTCAGTGACTCCATAATGTCAGCTTTTCTCAAAATGGAGTACAGCTTGCAGCAAAAATGGTTGTAAACTTTAATTATAAGAACGATATCCTGAATATTGTACAGGGTGTCATGATGAAAAATATTCAGACCATAATTGTTATCTAGTTTTCATATATTAAGAATAATAAGAGAGTTTGAAATAAATTTTTAAAAATTTATTTAAATTAAAGACAGCTGCCCCCCCCCCCCCCCAAAAAAAAATTAGAAGAGATGAGAACAATCTTAACGTGAAATCAATCATTGAGAAAACCTCATGAAAGTTAGATCTGAGTTTTAGAAAATGGATTGTAACAATGCCGGTTAGTGCATCAGGTGTATTTAGAAATCTTAAATTTGAGTTGCTTGTCTGCATACAAGATTTCAGCATTTAAATCCGGTTGACTTTCAGAGCTCGTTCAAGTTTGCAAGACTGACTGAAAGGTAGAGTGAAAGAAGTGGGCACCAATTAACAAATGCCGGTAGTTCTGAAACAACACATTTATTTATATGTAACTTTAATTTCACAAGAGATATGTATTTTGAGGGTTCTAAAAAGCCAGATATAAAACAAGAAAAGTCTCAAGTATCCTGTGAAACTTAAAAAACAGTGTTCAGAAGTTTCCAAGCATAAGTCTCATAAGTTATTTAGGATGTAATGTTGGGAAACACTCGGAAACTAACATTTTAGGATTTGTTGCCATGGTAACTGAAGTGGAGAATGTTGGGTACTTCTGACCCCCAAAAAATAATTTTGAATTTATGCTGATTAAAATGGTATATAAAATGTATATGTAGCTTTAGTTGTCATTTATCCATTTTTCTTTAGATGTGTGACATATATTGTGAAACACCCTGTACTTCTACAATTTCTTCGTAAAATTAAAGCAGGGAGGGTGTTTACTTGCTGATCAGCCTTTCCTCTGTCGTTCGTAACAAATAAGATGCAAAAGTTCAACACTACGCCGCGCATTTTGAAACTTAATTTTTGTTTCTATCTAAAGTTCTTATTCTATTGTTTTTTGGAAAGTGCTGCTAGAATCGTATGGTTTACGGGAATTCATGCATTTTTTTTCGATGTTATGAACAAAATGTATAAATTTTGGAAAGGTTTCGTCAGAAAGTGTTGAATAATTATTTTTGTGATAGGACAGTGCGATTCTAGCAGCACGTTTCATGGTACAGAGATGTTTTTACATAATTATTATTACAAATGGAAATTAATTATCCCCGGGGTAGTGTTGAACTTTTCACTTTTTTATTAAGGCATATTTTCTAATTATAGACGTCACGTGGTGACGTCGTGGTGAAATGCTTCATGTAGTATAAGTCCCATTGAAGTCTATAGAATGCATAATTATAAGAAAAGTTTTATGCTTGACTTTTCCGATTTATTAGTGTTACATAATTATAAAAAAGTGTTAATTCGCCGAATTCTGGTCCATGTGCTGCCTTAAAATACCTGCGTGGAAATAACGAACACTATTCAATAGCAAAAGTCCAAAACAGGATCAGAGCAAAACATCAGAGGTAGGATCAAGTGCCATGGAGGAGAGAACTCCACTGTCGACAAGTCATATCCGCCATGTGCTCCTAATCATGAACGGGAAATAACGAAAAAAATCCGTCGTCAATTCAGTGCTTAAATAATGGACCAACAATTAGTATGAAAAACGTCAATCAGCATTTGACTCAATGATAAATTTATTTGTCGACAAGGTATTGTATCGACCATAAAACTTATGGAATTATGACTTAAAACGCGACTGCTGATATTCTTGTTTCCTCAACTTCTTTGTCTATAATTATCCTTTTTCAGAAATTGTTCATACGTAAAACATACTTTTGCGTATCAAATCATCTGAGATGTGTAAATCTGTATTCAGGTGATGACGTTATATTGATGCAGAAGTAAGCGAAGTTGACAATAGAAAAGTTAAACGTTGATTATAGCGCTTGGTTGTTAAATAACACAAAGTTGTAAACATGGTCTCAAACTCGTACAACTCCAAAGATGGAATCTGCTCCAATAAGGAGTTATCACCCCTTGTCAACCGGTAACAACAACGGGATTCCTTTTTTTATTAAAGCACTTGTCTATGAAACAAAAAAAGTCTTACTTATAAAATTAAAGAGATAAAATTAAAGAGAGAAACATTCTGATTAAACATAATTTGCATAAAGTATAAGTACGATATGCCCATTACAAAAATAATACATAAAAATATCTTTTAAGGCACCCATGATGAGTTTCTTGTGGTTACTTTATATCGGTACTGTTACAAAGTTCGAATTCACTTTCTGATATTCATTATAATCCTTCAACAAACTAAATATGTATCACTATATATCTGCGCTTTGTGGATTCTGAAAAAAACAATTGAAATCCAAAATATATTTTAAAAATCTTATAAAATGAGTTCAGGTACAGTAATATATGCTTTTATGCTTAATTGTTTGCAAAGGTATTTTTAAACTCTTTGAAAGAAACTAATCTGCATGTACAATAAAGATCTCTCTCACTCTCTCTCCTCAAATTAAAACTGTTATAACCGCTATAAAAACTCCATACCTGTTTTCGTCTGTTCCTTTCTCTTATGAGAGCTGACAAAGTGTACAGAATTGGATTCAGAGCAGAATTTATCGGTAAAACAAGAACTGTTATCCAAATGTAAACTTCCTGAGAAACGTCTACTCCAGAGAATGTCATCAAAGCTGAAGAGTTAATTTACACGTAATTATTAATAACCTGAATATTCTCTACCCCAACTTGCAATAAAATACGTCTATGGAATAACTATATCACTAGTTTTATGTTCATGTAAAAGCCAAAAAAGTATGATTTTAAAACAAAAGAATAGCTAAGGAAGGAGAAAACTAATTATTTGACATACCAATAATTCCAATAGGAATCCAGCATAAGAGGTCAGTCAGAACAATAGCACCAACTGATTTCGCTAGTGACATTTCTCGTCGTTTGGTGTTTGTGGACTGTATTTTTCTTCCAGATTTTATAACCTCAACAAGTATAAAAATCTGTCCAACAAGTATGCCAAGAAAAAGAATGAAGTTAAATCCAATGAAAACAACCATTGAATATTCCCAACCAGGCTGTCTTTTGACGGACAAAGGAAGATATATACAAATAGCAGTTTGGGCATAGTAGTCTTCCAGTGGAATAAATAAAGGACACAATGCTAAAATCAAAGAAACTATCCATGCTGATACCGACAATAAAATTGCTCTTCTAACTACAAGGTGTGGATTTAAAAATGGTCGTGTTATAGCTGAAATCCTATCAAAAGTTATTAATGTTACGAATAAAGCAGACGCTTCGCTGGAAACCGTAGCCAAAACCCCTGCAAAAGTGCAAAGTTTGCTATGACGCCAATGAAAGTCTTCAATCCCATACTTTCCGCTGTAAACCATATTAACAAAAGCTATTATATACAAATAGATTCCCATTAATAGATCTGCAAAACTGAGGTTGCATGTTAATATGAAATACGATGGGGACTTACCTTTAAAAGAAAAACTATTAAATAGCATTGCAATAATATTTCCAAAGGTTGCTAATAATGCAACATACCATATGCAGATGTTAAGGGAAAAAACACTTATTAGTTGTTCGCAAGAAGAAAGTTCATTGATTGGCGCAATACACTGTACTTCATAAATGCTCCGAGGTTTTGCACAACATATTGAAAAGAAGTCAACATGCAAAACTTTTAAGCTAAAAAGGCCGTTAAACATTCCCTCTGCACTTATTATCTTATTATTTTGAATCTGCAGGGAAAACAACCCTCTTAAATTAAGAAATTGGGTTTTAGATAAATAAGAAATATTATTATTTGACAGGTTAAGATCCCGTAAATTTCTTAAATTTTTAAAGAGATCTTTTGGTAAGGCTGCAATATTGTTATTTGACAAATTTAAATCCTGTACATTTCCTAAATCCTTAAAAAGATCTCTTGGTAAAGCAGAAATTTTGTTATATTGAAGATATAATTTCTGTAGTATTTTTAAATTTATGAATAAATTTGCAGGTAAGATAAAAATAGTGTTGTGAGATAAATTAAGTGTATTTAATTTTGTCAGGTTCAAAAATGTTCTGTTGGGAATAAAGTCTA